CCCCCAGAGGTCCGGACCTCACCCACCCTCATGGCCTTCAGAAAACCTGTTAAGACCAGGCTGTTCCGGCAAAAAATAGCCTAGGGCCGTTGACCTTATCATGTAGGGTCCAGCCCCAATCAGAACGTATGCGTGTTGAAGAATTTTTAAATTTTTTATTTTTATTTTTATTTTGTTTGTTTTCTTTGTTCTGTGTAAGCCACCCGAAGTCCTCCGGGATTGGGCAGCCTATAAATCTAATAAATTAAATTAAATTAAATTTTATAAGTTTATTTTGAGGTATTGCCTTATTTAACATAGTTACCTAAATTGTCAGGAAACGTGATGTCCTATGACAAAATGGAGGCCATTTTCAGATTCAGTGCACCAAAAAATATAAAGATTACGTGGAATAACCAAAACAAAGCAAAGCTCTCGAAAAAAATTTTTTTGCAGACCTGTGTTATTTAATCACATCCTTATTATATAATGGTTACAGTGGTGGGTCCCAGCGTCCACCACATGAACGTGTGCAGTGTGTGCGCACATGCTTGCAGTGCACGCATGCATCCTTACCTCCTGTGACACTCCGCGATGCCTCCGTGACACCTCCACAATGCTCCAGCTGATCGGTGGAGCGTCACGCAGGCGCCGTATGCTCCATGTACATGTGCGGAAGCTCCGAAGAGCTCAAATACCGGTAAGAAGCGCGAGTGGGTGGGTGGGCCCTCCGGAGCACCATACCGGAATGGTACCCAGTGCTCCTGGCTTGCACCGGTACACCCGTACCGGGGCATACCGGTCGTAATCCATCACTGAATGGTTATCACCTAAACTACAATAGAATCTTCCCTAATTGTTTCACTATGTTTTTACTTATCATTTAAAATGTTAGTTGAGAATTCTTGCTCCAAGGGTTTAATTTTCTAACGAGAACTGACATACAGAGAACACGTAAGTGGAACATAGCAATAGTTTTGTATAACTAAGTTTCAAACTGTTACAAAGAATGGACAAGATCAGTAGCAACAGAAAGCTGGCTAAATTCTGTGATAGAATGAGACATTGTTGGGAGCAAGAGGAGAAAAAAAATGGCTGAGAGTTGAAATTTATTATATCCAAACTTCCTTCCTTTTAAACAGTATTAGAATGGGCGTGTAAATGGTTCCCTAGCATTTCAGGGATAAATTATAATAGAGCATTGTGCAGTACTAATAATGAATTATCAGCATTTGGCTGGATTTTAATTGTTGATTTTTCAGTCAGAATACCACATTTCCAGCAGAATCTGATATCATGTACCACTGAAACACAAATTTATGTCTCTTTCTTGACACTAAAATAGTTAGCATGTGTACGAAGAAATATTACTTAATCAACTTTTATTGCATTTCTGGATAAAAGATCACAGACAGCATGCATGAGAAAGATATTTCATTGAAAGACTCTAGCAAGTTAAGGGACCGAATTCATAGGAGCTCTTATGCAAATATTATATTTGAGGTTTTGCACAACCACCATAAGCTCAGATATTCAAAATGTATTTAAAACTGCACTTCTAACAGATATTCCAAAGCAATCTTTGAATCAAACTTCTCATCTGCTGTCAAAATGCTATTGAATCTAGAAGGTATAATTTTTTTTTCTCTATTTGAAGAATTAGAGGAACCATATCCATCTTCTATGAACCTGAGCCAATTCCCAATAATATTATTTATAATTATTTATATAATGCTGTTCATCAAATACTTCATAATAGCATATATGTTAATAATGTAGTAAGGAATCTGACAATCCAAGAGAAAGAAACTAAGTTTTTAAACTTTTGATAACTTATCTAGACAACAGCTTCACTAAACTCAGAAGGTATTTCTAGCAAGCCAAGTACAGAATTGTGTTGCAGGTTTATCATCATATGCAAACTTATTTGAAACATGCTGATTTAAGTCAGACTCATGGCTTGGTAAACATGTGGGAGCCGATTTTTAATTTAAAATAACCTTTTTTTTCTTATCCTATTTGGAGTTTACCTTATTGTTACTACTCCTGAGGCTAATGAGCTCACTTCAGAATTAGCAGTTCAAGGAGTCACGAAGGAGTCTGGTAACACCTTTTCCAACTAATGACTTTTATTAAAAGGTATAAGCTGCAGCTCACAAAAGCTAATCTCTTTTAATAACATTTGTTAATTGAAAAAGGTGCTACCAGATTCTTGATTTTTTTGCAGCATAAACTAACACAGCTCTCCTCCTATAATTATTCAAAGACTAAGTATAGAAAGAGAGAACAATATAGATTTTTTGTGTTTCCATTTAAAAGTGACTATTAAATCCAATTAATTGTAGTCCTAGGGAAGAGCAGGTGCAGGATTGCAGCCTAAAATATTTGCTTAAGGATGTTGCTGTAAATAAAGGTTTATCCTCTTCTAATATGATTTAGAAAATGTTCAGACAGAAAAAGGGGCTTATGTCTAGACAGCATGACCCTTTTCTGCAGAAATATGACCTTATAACTGCATATACATTAAATGAAAATGAGGGTAATGGATACTCTGTTGCTTAGTGTATCAAACAAAATACAAGGGCAGGGAGAGAGAGAGAGACCAAATTAATTGCTGTAAAATAGTATTTCCCATTTTTCAACCTTTTCCTCATTTTACATTCCATCAATCCAGGTATTGCTCTGTATTTCATCAGAATCAAAGCAAATTCAGTTCTAGATGTAGTTTGCAGTGTTTCTTTCCCCAAAACCAAAAGCCTGCATTTTTGGTAGAATAAGATTACAGCGAGCATTTTGGTTTTTACAGAAAATGAAATATGGCCCATCTACAACAATCAGAGAGAGGGGGGAGAAAAAAGATCGAATACTTTACCTGGAGCAAACACCATGGTTCCTTCCTGCCAAGAGAACAGTGTAATAAGACACCACAAAGTCGTGTGTCAGAAGCAGGAAGTGAGCAGAAGGGCAAAGCAAACAAGCAAATTATAAGGGCGAGTTTTGCAGTGACACCCAGGAGTGGTAGCACCTTGGACAGCTACACGCGCAGAACAACGCTGCCAGCCCTGAAATGCTTCCCTGCCAGTTACCTCCAAAATGCACCGCTCTCGTAAAGGGGAACGGGGGGGGGGGGAAAGGAAAGAGCTCACGGATCAGCACATATCCCATGTTTTCGCTCACTGCATAAACAGCTAGGCTGAATTCCGCAGCAACAGCAGGAACGGGAAAAGAGGAAAGGTAATAGCAGACGCTCTCGGCAGGAGAATTAAAGTAATTGTTCCTAATTATCTCTCGTCATCTTCTGCACCAGATGCAGCCAAGGTGAAATGAACAGGGTGGTTCTTCAAGGCTAAGTTAAAAGCTTCTTGTAAACTGGCTGTTCTGAGGCACTGCGACATCTTATTGTTCAGTGCTTCCTCATAAATTAATCTACCCCCCCCCCCAAAAAAAGCAATTAATAACCTAGAAGTTTTGCCAGGAGTTCTTGAAATTTCTGTATACTTTGATGCTGCTTTCTTCTCTAACGTTTGCAGTTTATTACCCGGAATTACTTTAACTGCAGCTACAGGGGAGAAAAAAAAGGGTATGAAAAGCGTGGCTCTGGATATCTTTTATTAACAATCTTTGTTAGTAAATTGTGAAGCCTTTCATTGATTATCAGAAATAGGTGGGGTGGAAGATTTTTTTTAAAAAAAATCTTAGGTTATTGCTTGGTTGACCAAAAATGCCAGTTTCAGTTGTTTGAAAACAGAAACCTGCCTCTTTAAAATCAAAATCATTCCTACCAATAATTATTTAAAAAAAACCATTCTTATTGTTAAACAATAACAGCCCTTCGGTGTCATTTTAAACAGATATTTACTTTTGCAAGTCCTTTTTTACTTTCTGTCGAAGTGCTAAGTTGAGCAGATCATGCCGTGTGAGCATAGTTCTGTCATCAACAGAACTATGGTAACACGGCATGATCTGCTCAACTTAGCCCTTTTCATTTAGTCAGGAGACTAAATGAAAAGGTTTAAAAGCGTTCTTAATTCACTCACTAAAATCAATTGGGTATATGAAGAGAAACATAGAAAATAAACAAAGTTGAGTTGCATGTTTGGTTGCTTGATATGTAAGTTATATTACAGTTTATGTCTCTTGCCATCTATTCCCCAAAATTCACATCTTTAAAAGCCCAAATCACAAAAATGTTAGGGATTTAGAGCAAGGGTGTTAAACTCACCCGTTTCCGGAGGAAAGTCACGATATGTCACATGATGCTGCCGTGACAATGCAAGTTTGATACCCCTGATTTAGAGGATTAAGATATCCCACAATAGCAAATTCCCACTAATCTTAAAGCACATTAAAGGGACCTTACATTCTTAATAAAATATATACAATATTTCTAACTTTTGTTAGTGAGCATAAGTAATCTAGTCATTTCTAAGTGTTTTAAATTTCAACAGCCTACCAGCTACCCCAGCTACTATCAAGAGAGAGGGGAAGTTTACTTGAAACTATCTGAAGACACATTCAGCCCCTTTGGAAACTGCTTAAGTGCACAAGAAATGTGCAAATAAATTATTCTCCGTATTCATGCATATTTGGTGTAATATAGGAAAAGGATAGTTAAATAAATATGCTCATGTATTTTGCATGTATACTGTACTGAATTCTGTGCTATTTGTTTGCTATCATAAACATAGAAAAACACTGTCATTACATTTCTAATTAACCACTTTTGTAGAGAACCAAACTTATGGCATCTCAGTCTATTTTATGCAAACATTTACATAGAAATATGTGAATTTTGAAATACATTTTTTTGCTGCAAAATTTTTATGGATCCAGTTCCTCTTTTCAGCCCTGGTATTTCTCCAGCTTCTCATACTGCTTCTCCCTAAAGTTGCTATCACTTGGCAGCATTCTATGTCTATTACCACTGCTGTCTCTATTCCTTGTCTATTACTATTTATATTATGATTTAATGCTGTATCACATTATCACCAAAAAAAACCTTAACTCGATTGGAAATTATTTCTGAATGATTAAAAATGATTAATAATGTTCATTTTAAATAAAAATTGGTGGATTTGCATATTTTCTTCTCAATCCATCTTCCTCTCACGATAAATGCTTTTGATAATGTAAATTGGCAATTTATGATAATGCAACTGCAAATGATAGATTTTGGGAAGGGATTCATAAATATGGTTAAAACTATTTACAAAGAACAACAGGCAAGTGATGGTAAATGGTGATATGACAAAAAAAGTGGCCATTGGAAAAGGGACCAGACAAGGGTGCCCGCTATCTCCACTATTATTCATATTGACACTAGAAGTTTTGAACAAAAAGATAAAGCAAGATAAAGATAAGGAATGAAAGTTAAAAAGGAAGAATATAAATTGCAAGCATTTGCAGATGACTTGGTATTTATTATTGAAGATCCAATAGAAACCGGTGCAAAACTACTAGAACAAATAGAAGAGTATTGAAGAGTGGTAGGATTGAAAATTAATAAAGATAAAACAAAAATTTTAGTGAAAAATATAACAGAAAAACTAAGATATTCAAATAGTAAAAAAAGTGAAATATTTGGGAATAGTTGACTTTGAGATGTGTAACTATTAAGGAAGATATTATAAACTAAGAAATCAAATTGAAATGGATATAGAGAAATGGAACTTACAGCTATCACTAATGGGAAGAATAGCGGTAATGAATATATTACCAAGAATATTATTTTTATTCCAAACAATACCGATAAAACTGAAAAAAAAGTACTTTGAAAAATTTAATAAAATAATAGGAAAATGTGTTTGGCAAGGAAAGAAAATGAGAATTAATATAAGAATGCTACAAGATTCTAGGATTAGAGGTGGATTTGGTGTACCGAACTGGAAATTATACTATCAAGCAGCAGCTCTAATGTGGATAAAAGAAAGGATATTACTAAGAAATGCAAGGTTACTATCCTTGGAAGGACATGATATGCAACCGGATTGGCACCTATTTTTGTGGTATGGAAAAAATAGAATACATGGTTATTTTCAGAGACACTATGTAAGAAATGGTCTTTAAACTAGTTTTTTGCTTGCAATCAATTGTCATAGCTCATTGTGATTAGGAAAAAAACTTATTTAGAACAATGACTTCTGTTATGCAATATGTGGTTGTTCATGAACCAAAATAAATTATACTTGCAGATCTGACAATAGAAACACAAACTTTCCTATGTGCTGGAAAAATCCTATTAACAGTTACTTAGAAACAAGCAGAGTTAAATTTAGTGAGACTTTCTTCAAAGTAAATATGAATAGGCGATTCCCAGGATCAAAGTTTCCTGTTTTTGTGAACTAATCCTCACGTCAGTTCAAAAATTCTTCTGTGGGGAGTTCAATTCACACGAAAGGAGAACAGCGCTCTTCCTGTGTTCTTCCTTTTCCTGCAGTTGCCTTTGCTTCTTGAAAAATTTCATGGAAAGTTGAGTATGTTTCTGAAGTAACAGAAGAGATCCAGAGAGCTGCAAAACAAATTGATTGCCTCTTTCCATTTCTACAGTGCAGAGCATCTCATTACCCAGTGCTATCTGCTTGCAAAATGATCTAGCCCATTATAGATCCACCCCATTAAGTTTCAACATTTTGCTTATCTATGCAAGTTGCATACTAACATTCCAGCACAGAATGTTCTAATTCCAAAATTGGCTGTTCCAAAGCTAGAATGACCACCCAAGAACATTTTGCAGCCATAGTTATCTACTTAAAATAGTGAACCTTCAACTTGCCCACATACTTCTATTTTGCAAAATAGAATATTTGAGAAATTAGATATACTTAATTATTGTAAGAGTTATTATTTTTTTTACTAATGTGCACTGTGCACATAGTTCTCATATCTCTTTAGGTCAGAACTTAAAGAGGCTAGCATTTTTTTTAAAAAAATCAAAATATTGTAAAACAAAGATTATTTGCATGTAGTAAAATTAATAGGCATTATTACAAAATACATTCAAAACAGAAAATGAAGTGATGTTCTTGGAAAATGTACAGGCACACAGTTTTTATATATTCTAAAATATTCAAGTTTTATTTACAAGATACATTTCAAACTTTTGGCATTTTAAATATAACTTTAAGTTGCCTATTCAATGAATATTTCACAATGACATTGTAACAAAGACCATAGCAATATGCAACATTATTGTTTAAAATGTTAGCTTCATATAGAAATGTAAGAGATGTTTGACTCATATTAATTTATAAATACTTATCTGACCCCTGTCAGAACATATCCGTGTTCAACTTCATTTGTATTAATACATCTAAAACAATTATGTATAAATATGTGGAGAAATGTTTTTCAAGATTTGTAAATGATCACATTTCTTTTTGCTTCATAGAAAACCCATTCTAGTTTGTTACAAATAAAACCTGTAACTGAAATAATTACTTTGATTTTATTTTAAATTAGACTAGTAAATTAATTTCAGATTGGTAGGCTAAGTGAAATTTTCTAAAAATTTCAGCTAACCATTTTCTTCTATGGAAAAGCTCCCATCATCTTCTATTAATTCCTTGGATAAATACTTCAAGAGATAACTTCATTCACTGAAAGATAATCAAAAACGAATATGAATCTGTCCCCAAAAGCTAGCTGTAATTTTGTGAAGATAAGCAGGATAATTGCTTATGAAGCACAGGCATTAAGCTGCAAGTTCAAGCATACTCATTAGTAAGCTGCATGGTTTAGGTCAGTAAGGCTTACTTTCATATAAGATACTTTCTAATTAAATATAAATCCCAAAACCACACAATTGATTGAATCGTCTTATGTTGAAATTCTGTAACATTATGGTGGGAGTAATTATGTTGAATTCTGTGGGACATCTGAGTAAACACATACAGGACTGAACTATGTTCACTAATGGGATACAAAGTTTTCGAGCAACAAATACAATAGAAAAAAAGTACATTCAATTGTCTAATTCTAAATTCTTCCACTCAAATGTGATAACTATATTGTTCTGTTTTTCCAAACTAAAATCCATTATTCCAATTTTTCCAAGTTTCATGGAAAAGTCACTAAAGGCCTGAGATGCCAACATTTGACACTATGCTATTTAAAGTTTATTTGGGGCTCAGGACTCCACTTCCATACCGAAAAAGATACCATACAATCAAAGCTGGAATCTTTGATTTCTCTTGGAACAATGCCCAGAATTCAAACCTACATTTAACTTTTCTGACTCACCGAACTATCAGGAACATTAGAATTAATTCTTATCTAGTGTTCAAGAGCAGCAAAAATAAGTCCTAACAATTTATTCATTAATTGGAAGCGACTGAAATGAATTTACTTTCAATTTATTTTCAGAGTCATGTTAGCTTCTTCTTTGTATCTTTTTCTTACACTTACTGCCTTAACTCCATTGTGCTATCTGCACTAGAATATGAACCCTTGATAATTATGCTGCCTCAATAGTGACAATTTTAATTCTTGCTAAATATCCCCAAATCCTGGGGTATTATAATCTTATTAGCAAGGATTTGTACTTGAATTCTACATTTCTCCCAATTGTCCTTTTTGTTTATAATACAGGGGGAAAAATCTTAAGTATTATTAAAGGAAACTGCAGACAATTCAGCTAGCAATCTTTTCTTTGTCAGGGCAGAGAAAGCAAAAAGCCACTATCAGATAGATAGGTATCAAACAAGTCTTAGTAGATTTGCTAAACCTAAAAACTGCCAAGGAAGAGTCAGAATGGTTGCAGAGTATGAATCTTAAGAGGAAATCCTTCCAATTTAGTCAAGATGTCCCAGTGGGTCGTGCCCGATGTTAAAGCAATATTCCTGAAAACTTTTGTCCATGGTTCATAACAAATATACACTTCCTCCATGCCTTCAAATAAAAAGGCATGTATGCTTGCAATGAGCAAATTCAATAAGTATAATGAAGCTTAATGTGAAATATGTGTTAATAAGACTGCAAAGTACAGTGATCAGAAAAGATAAGAAAAACATCAGGATGTTTTGTAGTCGTCGTTTAATTAGAGATGGGCAGTGGTTTAAGAGTCATTTCCTTCATAAGGAGGACTTCAAGAGGCAACCAGATGGTGCAATGACACTGGAATCAATTTTTATTATTTGTTGTGTTTTTTAAAAATAAAATTTATAATAAGAAGATGCCTAAATTTCATGGTGTTATTTCAGGCCTGATATCTCCTATTTCTATTTCTGTGGGAGAGGAGGAATAAAAAAATTCACGCTACTTAAAACGTTGGCCATTTTGCATCTAAAACATATCAGTTAATGAAAAGCTCCATGCAGCTTCACTGCCACCCATCTATGGGAGGAAACCCACTATAGTTTCTACTGCTCATGCACCTTTTATCAATAGTGACAGTAGATTAAACTGGAGAGAAACAACAACAAAATAAAATATGAAATCTAATTACATTTCATTACTTTTGATTAGAACATTGGAAATTAATAGTCACCTCCTACAAATTAATTCTTGCACTCAGTAAAATTCATAATTTCCCATTTTTTAAAAAAATACCTGTTATAGTAGACATAATTTATCAAACTGTTTGCTAACAGCACAATTTGTAGGCCAATAAATCAACACATTTTGAATTAATCTAATCTTGTTTTACTCACATGGTACTACTTCCTGCTGAAATCCATGAGACTCAGCTACGTAGCACTTGCAGTGCAACGAATCTCTAACAAGTATTTATTTTTGACTTGGCAACTTATCCTATAATTTCCCACCATTGCTGACAATCTCTAATTTAGGATCTTCTTAAATCATAAAACAACATATTTAGGTGCCAAGCAACTGGATTAAATGAAACAAATGTAGCTTAAATCCAAATACTTAAGACTTAATTTCACTGAGCATCGGAGTGTAACATCTTCCATTCCACATGCAGAGTTTATTCCAATGGGGCAAAGCATGCATTGAAACCCAGCACTTTAAAGAGAGGAATAAAACACAGCTAGTCTGACTTCTAAAAAATTTATATCCAACTGGACGGATACCTTGATTAAGGTCTTATCCATGCTTGATATGAGAGGTTTTTTTGCTGCAAACTGCAACTATATTTCTACTTTCTAAATCACGCTAAAATACTCAGTAGTGAATTTTTCAGTCCGAACATTTTCCAGCATTTGGCCACTCCTCTTTTTAGCTACAAGCTATAGTTTCAAGTTGCTGTTCTGCCTCAGCAGCCATGGCAGCTGCCTGTAACTGTTCAGTTTCACTTTGGAGGGCACTGGCTGTGGTTACTTGCTTCCTTTCACTGTGCATATTGTTCTCATGTCTCTTTAAATCAGATGCTTTGGCAAATGCTTTAGTACAAGAGCTGCAGACAAAAGGTTTCTCCCCTCTATGTCTTCTTTCATGATCTTTCAGGTGGGACTTATGCTTAAAAGCTTTGTCACACATGTGACATGCAAATGGTCTTTCATTACTGTGAACCCTCTCGTGCTTTTTTAGGTCTGGTGCACGAATAAAAGACTTTCCACATACTTCACAACTATATGGCTTGTAGCCTGTATGGATTTTTAGATGCTCTTTCAAGTGGGCTTGAGTAGTGAAGCCTTTAGTGCACATTTCACAAACAAAGGGCCTATCTGCAGTATGGAGTTTTTCATGTTTTCTCAATCGTGCTTCATCAGAAAATGTTTTGCCACATGCTGGACATGCGATTTGTTCCCTGTGACCATAAAGCAAATACTCAAATTTCATGTCTCCAGCTGCTGTTGTCCATGCTGGTGTCTGTTCATCTTTAACTTCACTTATGCCATCATTAAATGCTAGAGCCTGAGGAGTTTGTGATCCCAATTCTTTCGTTTCAGCAGACTCTATAGACTCTACTTCTTGACCATAGCAGTTCACTTTTCGAACCTCTTCACTCCCCAGCTCCTTCAGAATTGCTTCCTGAACTCTCAAAGTAGCAGTTGGCGATTTACCATCCTCTTGACTAGGAGGAGTTCCTTCCATTGTCATATCCGATGGGCTATCATCGTGATCGCCAATTTCTTCAACCTCATCATCTTGGTTATCATTAGACTCCCCAATCGGTCTATTAATTTTAAGACAATACTTATTCTTTGACTGTGAATTGTCTTCTGGACTTGATACGTCCCGTTTTTGAGAACAAAGTTTATCCAAAAATCTAATACCAAGAATCTGACCAGATGACATCATTAAATTGACGTCTTCTTTCTTAACTGAAATCTTGGCTGTGTACATATAATTGAGCACTTCCTCAAATATATCAGATCGAAGGAAATCTATTTCAATTACAGATGAGCTGTCAACTTCCAGTTTTTTGAAAAGTTTTTTAAAATAGGTACTACAAGCAGCTAGAACACACCTGTGTGCCCTGAATTTTACATCTTCTACAACAATAGCTATGTCACAAAATTCTCCTTCCAATCGTTGCTCATTTAATGTTTTCAGAAACACAGTTTTGTGATCGTCGTCATTATATTTAATGGTTTCAGACATACTGATGAAAAACTCCTAGAAAAAACAAATGTATTTAAGTTACTTTAATAAAAATAAGATATTGTAAAAAAAAGTTTCACATTTGAATGTATATTAAGCTGATGAATATTTTAAAGTAAATGAACAACCTTCAAATGCAAAATTGATTACTTATTATTGTATACATTTCATGAGAAAAAGTGTTATATTTTTCACTAATGAACTACAGCTCTTATAAATAATATAAATATAATAGCCTTTGACTGGAGTTCTCTTTTACCTGCCGAAATATATTATTCCTTCTTTTATCTGAGCTAAAGCAAAAAAAACCAAAACAAAAAGAACATGTATTTGAAAAAGAACTAATACAGAGAGACAAGCTGTATTTCAACCAGGAGATAAAGCAGAAAACATTAAATAAAGGGGAAAGCATATAAACAAGACTAAGATTCTTCCTTTTCTCTCAAAGTTATTTATAGTAACTTGAGAATAAAATAGTTTACTGAGACAAAAAAAGGAAATTGAAACAAAGAAATATACCATGAACAAGGAAAGATCTTTCCTTAGTATCTGAGCAATGTTTTGGAAGCAGAATGTTATCCTGGACTCCCTGCACCTGAAAAAGAAAACAATACGAAATCTATGAAAAAAAATTCACTCTCATAACAATCCTGTGAGTTATGTTAGATCACTAGGTCAAGGTCACATAACAAACTTATGACTGGCAAGACTGGGCAATTTTCCAAACTTAAGGTATCCCAAATGGTGGAAATGCTCATACCAAATTCTTTGTACCATTGACACTGTACAAAAGCATTTTAACTGTAAAAAGAGTAAGTTTTATTCTTCAGAACGATACCTGAGGCCTAGAAGTTTTGGGTTTTTACAACAACAAAATAATGGGCAATTACATACATTGACCTACCCAGGAAAAGAACAAAGGTGTAGCAAGAGGGGGAACTTGAAGGACTTGCAACTTTTGTTGCTGGTTATGGTCCTCATGATTGTTTTCTGAATGGAACCTCTCCAGATTTCTTATGGCTTCTCTAAATTTAATACCATCTTTTAGTGATTCCTAGTGGTTCATTTAGTAGATGTGACAAACTGACACAAAATACAACAGAAATTATCTTATGTCGAGTCAATATTCTTTCTCTTAATGTACAACACTTTTATCCTAATTTAATTGATAGCCACCTAACAAAATTGATATTTTGCAGTTAGAAAAATAAAAAATTAATTATAGCACTTTTACTAAAGCTGTGGTCTTAGATTCTATTTATGTTTCACAATTTCAAAGCAAGTTATTTATTTCTCTGTGTTATTTCTACTCATGTCATTAACACAGGGTCATCCTGGACAGGAATTTTCCTTAATAAATACTTTGCATGTCTTTTCATTATATTTTCCTCAAAAATGCAAAATAAACAGCTCCCTTACTGCTCTAGGTGATGTTATCCACAGCAAAAGTAGCATTTTAGTCTGTTGTGGAGAACTGACAGCAATTGGGAATACCTTTTGAATTAAAATAAATAAATAAGTGCATTTGCTTACTACCAGTTAGGCACAGGTGCTTGCAATCATGTACACATTTGTCTAAAGCAAGAAACTGATCAACTGTCTGATGTCACAAATGGACTGAAAATTACTCAGTTTTTCAACATTTTTTTTTACCAAAGACTTTTCTTCTCTGAATTTAACTGCCTCCAAAGCTTTTTTTCCTTTACAAGTTTAGGATTGGCCTATTCATATTAGTACAATAGTTAACCAATAGCCAGGTCTATAAAAATCACAAAGTAGGATCCTGGTTATTGACAGAAAGTTGTTTGTTGGCACCTTTCATATTCACATTTTTGCTCTTTTCCACATACTGCAGAATTTCTACCATCTAAAACTATTGATCCTAGCTTATCTGATTATCCAATTACCATTATTCTAAATTAGGATTTGTAAATAAAGAACCACCCCTGGTTCACATATGCAAATTTCTTATTCAGACATCCAGTACAAAACATTGTTTGCATTGACAAGAAGTGACTAGAATTCATGTGGAGACATGCAATTTACCCTATAAATAAATCTGGACTATAATAGTGGATTAGTTCAATTAGTTTAATGCTGTATTTTTTTTGGGGGGGGGGGATCAGTTCTCTGATTTCACTTTTGCTTGGATCAGTAAAAAAAAGCTCCAGAATATGCAAAATAACTGATGAACATAGAAGGACATACAATGTTGTTTTTTCTTTACTGGACTGTTGAGTCAGATAATTTTTCATGCCTTTAAGTGCATACAAAAAGGATTCTATGCTCACAGAGATTCATCATGAGAGATAAAATCTTGATTGGGCCTCTAATCTCTCAAGCATTCATGAATACTGTACAATATACAGAGCTCTTTCTCATGCATTCGGAATGCCTAGACAAAATGTTACCACTGAGTATCCTGGAAACATGCATAAAATTTTCTCAAGTGATCTTTCAATTTTAGGGGATATATGAACTCCACCATCCTTTACTAACTTTTTGATAAATCTCTAAGGGGATTTCCTCAATTATTTTCTAAGGTATCTTTCCTGATAGCAAACTCACCAAGATAACAGATAATCCAGAGATATATTTTTTTAAAATGTGAAGCTAAAGGAACTAAACCAAGAATAAAACAATTCTATGCATATTTATTTAAATAAAAAGCAAGTCCCGGTAGGTTCAGTGAAGCTTACTGTAAGGTAAAATTGGAATACCGATTCAAAAGCGAATCCCAAAACATTACCTTCTCAGCACACATTAAATATTCAACTTTATGTTCGACTCCTGAAATTTGCTAATGAGCTTTCGGAAGTACGTATCGAACCTACCGATATAAATAACAGTGCTATGTTTTTAAGAAGCTTTTTCTTGTAACGAATGGTACAGGCACCAATAAAAAGAACAAAATCCTTTAACATTTAAATGTTCTGAAGCATTAAAAGTATGCTTATTGGGGAGATCAAAATGACTACCAGGAAAATGACGCCGATTTCCAAGCTAGTCCCCCCTCCCCCCGTACTGAGCTAAACGTAGAAAAAGAGCATGCGATTCTATCGTGCACGTTTTGTAGGCAAAAAAGAAGAAAAAAATAGTATTGGCGGCTCCGTGCGAGTAACCATGTAAGAAACGTGCACGGTGCATACTCGGTGCATGCGTGCTAGTGCCCGTGCAGGCCTCACGACTGTGCCCCGCTGAGACGGGGCTGCAGCTAAGCGAAGTGCACAGATCCCCTCACGCGCGACTCCACCATCCTTTCCCTTCCCTTCACCAAGGAGGCGGAGCCCAGGCCAAAGACCCGCGCGCGCGGGAGCGAAGCAAACAGCCTTCCGTTCCAACCCCTTCCCTCGCCCCCCACCCTCAGCCGCTAAATCTCGCGGCAGAGCTCGCGCCCTCGCTCGCGCTCCCCAGCATTAACGAATGGGCGGGGCTGCTGGACTCTAGTATAAGCTATTCATTTACCCCGGAGCGAGTTTTCGCCTGCTGCCGCGCTGCACGGGACTGCGCCATCTCCGGCATCTTCTTGCCTCCGGTAAAGGAGACGGGGGCGGTTCCAGTAACGCGAGGCAGCCTTTGCAGGCCGGCAGACTCAACGGCGCGCGCAGGAAGAGCCAGCGAAGGGACGGCGCGCGGCGGAACCTCTCCAGTGCACCTCCCCGCCTCCCTCCGGTTCTGCTGCTGCTGCTGCTCCTGCAGCAGTCGAGCCTCGAGTGCGCGCGCAGATGCTCGTCGAAACTTACCTGCCCGTGCTGCGCTTCGCGCGGAGATTCTGGGGAGGGGAGAGGGGAGAGGTTGGGGTTACGGTGGCGGGAGTGCTTGATCCAAGCAAAGATTTTGGGATTTTGGGGGGGGAAATGTAGGGGGGAATGGCGCGCGTCTCCAGCCGTTACCGCCGCTTCCTGCACGAGCATTGGATGGCCCGCGCGCGCACGCGCGAGGCGCGCCGGAGGCGGGAACGTGCATGCGCGATGCGAGTAGGGCGCGCCCCCCGCGGGGAAAGGGCGGGCATTGCGGGGATCTTTTAAACAGGCGAAGCAGTTCGGCGGCGGGTGTTTTTGAAGGGGGAGGAGGAAAGGCGCGCCTGCATTGCTCTGCCGCTCTTCCCGGGCTCGCGCGCCCTCGCCGCTTCTGGCTCTTGCCGCTGTGGTCGGGGCCGCGCGAGATGGAAGCGGCCGACAGGGCTATGGATTCCGGATTAGCCGCTTTGGTTCTGCTGCGGCGACGGCGGAAGAAAGCAAGCATCCCCTTGGCTCGTCTTTCCACGCATTGAGCTATTTGCCGAGAAATAATTTGTCTCTACGTACGCCTATGCCAGTACATATATCAGCTACACTTTACCAACAATAAAAACAATGATAAATGACAGCTTCAACCTTCCTTCGAAAGCTGCGTTTCATGCCATTGCTTATTTAAAGGACCGGAAAAATCCGTTTCCACGCTGAGAAAATAATAATCGTAAATTCTGAGACTGAAATCCTGACTGTCCTGCCCATGATATCCCACCCCACTTCCCCGTAGCAACTGAGCCCCTGTCCCGGTTCTCGGCCAAAGATGGGGCCTACGCTGAGGAGACAGCGCTAGAAAAGAGGCTTTCTGGTGAAAAGAGCCCTGATCCGACAACAGGTTTGCTTGCTGACGACTAACTTTTGCTATCCTGGGTTCTGGCTCTCAGTGCCATACTGAATCATAAACCGATCCTGGGGAAAAGATGGGTTTTTTTTTCCGATTAAAGGAAAGAAAGCGAGGGACTGGATCCCTTCTCAAAAAGCATTGTCACTGCTGCCCTGGCTGATAGACGTTTGAGGTCTTTGTACATTACTTTTTAAACATTTATTTGCTGTACTTGTATTTACAATTGTTTATATGTATTGGTTATTATAGCCATGGTTTGGTCAAACAGTTTACATGAAATCATTTTGGAAAAATGATCATTAACAGGTTAACAGAGTTGGAAGAACCTTGCAGGTAGTCCAAACCCCTGCCCAAACAGGGGACACTACATCTGCTTCTACCTAGGATCAAACTCACAACCTCCTGATTGTGAGCCAAAAGCTCCACCTCTAGGTCACAGCATCCTAGGGTTGATTGTAAATAAATAAAGATAATGAATTGACAAATGAAGATGAATATATTTGTCCCAAGATAATGTTGCTGCATCCAATCTGGGTCAGTTTTCGGGACCAGAAGTTTTGTCTTCAAAGCTTTTGGACTTGTGCTGGAGCCCATCTTCAGCGAATTTCTCTCTAGCAGAGTGTGTGCTGTTTTCTATGTGGTATTTATAGTGCCTGTTGTATAGTGGCTTTTTAGATATTGATTGGGTTGGGTTCACGGCTGGCTTTTAAGTCATTAGCTGTTGTTTGCTTGTGCTGCTGGGCCCTTCCCTTCTAAGTAATAGGGTGGTGGCAAATCAGCACTCCTGGTGCCTGAACAGGGGCCCGTTTCCCAGACTTCAATAATTTCCCTGGCTGTTTTTGTACCTGCTTGTCCAACAATCTTAATAGCTGCAAAATTGAATGTGTGTCCTTGTTCATTGCAGGGTGAAGCTACTAGTGAGTTTAGGTATTCTCGTCTGACTGCTCGCTTCTGTTTTTGCAATCTGGTGGTTAGCTTCCTCTCCGTCTGCCCTACATAGTCATAAGGGGAATCCATGCACAGAATTCAGTAGATTACATTGGAGTTATCTCCCACCTCCAAGTTCTACAGCTACCAAAATCTTTTTGGTGTATGGCAGTGTATGCTGTGTGGTTGGTCTTGTACCTTGTTTCTTCCTTTCTCCCTACCGTGTTGTGCAGTGAATAAAAGAAGTTTGGTTTATCGGGTACATTTATGTTAAACTAAAATAAATGTGTTTAGTTTGTAGTTCAATATGTCATGCAAAATCTGTTTAGAAAGTCGTGCAAAAGTAATTCTATGAAGCTGTCCTTAATTAATTCTATGAAGCAAATACATAAAATTGGTAACAGTTGACTGAAATCTTATCAATCATGGGCTTATTTTCCTGTAACAGTGTTTCCCTTGCACAAAAGGAAAATAAAGTAATATATGAAAGCAGGTGTGGTATAGTGATTAAGGCCTCAGACTAAAACTGGGAGGACTGTTCCAATCCCTCATAGACACAAAGCCAGTGGGATGACCATGGATTAATCACTTTCTCTCAATCCAGGGAAAGAGGCAATGGCAAACCACTTCTGAAAATTATTGCCCCAAAAACTGCAGGACTTCTATGGGCAGTCTCCCATAATCAAATACGATNACCCACAACTCTTTAAAGTAGATATTTCATGAATCCAGAAAAAAGGCACCGCTGCTTTAAAAAGTACCAAGTAGATGCTCTGGGGTTTACATTCCTATATATTCAAAAACAGTGCATAGCCCTAACAAACATTATTATTTAATGAATTTAAGTTGTTATCACTGCTTTGAAGTTAAATTCAGGTGAATAGATGACTCTTTCTTTTCTGTATAATTTATACCTCTATCTTGAATGGGAATGCTGACATCACCTTGGCCACTCCCACCCGGTCACATGGCCGGAAAGCCAGTCCCACCTGGTCACATGCTGGCAAGCCACTCCCTCAAAGCAGGCCACACCAACAGACTAGGTTCCAAAAATGTTTGAAACCCACCACTGATTTGGATATATGCTCCAGGAAATTCTGTAAGGGTTTAATGTTCTCAACATTGTTAAGGGAGTTAAAACTTAAAAGATGTCAATGTGGTGCTGACTATTATTCCTAAAATTTGGAATTGGTTTATAAAGAACTTTGGATCAGTTTTTAATTTATTCTTTATGTGCTACATTTTAAAGCATTAAAATACATTTAAAAAAGAAAAAGACTAAGCCATAAAAAGCATACTTAGCTATGGCTTCTATTTAATGATCAACAAATAAATGATTACTTCAGTTGTTTCACTCAGATATTTATATATTTAACAATAATCCTATGCCTATATTATAACAAATTTCTGATACACCTACTTTGGTGATATGTGTAGTAGTTGTAGTACTAGTAGTTTCAGAAGTAATAGTCTGTGCACTCATCAGAACTCCTGGTTCAGAGTCAGCACTAGAATCCACCTAAGAAAAAATAATATGAAATGATAAATGCATTCAATATTGGAGTTATTTGTGTAAAGTTAGCAAACATTTTATTATTATTATTATACAATTGTATCACAGCGGCCAGTTGTTTCGCCGGATTTGGCATTGGTTACTAGTCGGGCCCCACCCAGGGGCCTAGNCCAGAACTCTCCCCCCACCCCCCCAAGATTTATAGAAAGATGGCAACTCCGATCACACTTTAAGACCCAAACCCACCCTGAAGATGCATATATTGAAACTTTTTGGAGAATATGCTGAATAAACTAAGTATCTATTTTGTACTAATTTTAAAGATATGAGTAATCAATAAATTATGAAAAATAACTCTTAAAAGGTTTTAGCTTTAGCAGTAGCATTTAGACTTATATACCACAATGCTTTATAGCTCTATTGGGGAAGTTTACAATGTCAGCATTTTGCTCCCAATAATCGGAGTTCTCATTTTACCGACTTTGGAAGGCTGAGTCCACCTTGAGCCATCTGTCAGGATCGAACTGCAGGCTGTGGGCAGTTATTGTCTGCAATATTACATTCTAACCACTGCGCCACGAGGGCTCTTTAAAAATAAATTATCACATTTAACCAAATCAAAAGTTATTTGAAGATCAGTAAATACAAATAAAGTATTTCCCATATATTAAGTATCATGAACATGGCCAAAACCACTAGCATGTCAAATAGAAGCATATTTTGACTTGGCAAGCTATGCCAATTTTCTGAATGGTAAAACATCCACAATTTGTTATAATAGCCTGACCTTTTTTAAACCTGATTATTACAACATTGCACCTATAGTGGTTACTTTTAAGGCTGAAGCTAAAGTAAGAACCTGAATGGTTCTCTGAGGGGACATATTCTTCCACTATCAAGGCTAGGAAGAGAATGGCCTCATTTCCATTTATAAAAACGGGGAGAGGAAAAAAGGGCCTCTGGAGAAGGCCCTTTTCTTAAACTCTGGAGAAAATGGATGCTATAATTATGGTTGGTTTTTGTGTTCTGCAATGGACTAATCTTTTGAATTACATGGCTTTGATCGTACTTACAATAAAGCAACTTTGTCAGAATTGAAAGCTTCTACAATAAGAATACAATGTGAGTAAAAGTTTATGATTTATTGCTGTGTATAGAGTAAAATATTTAGCCACAAATTAATTCTTACTGTCATTTGGTTTATAATTATATAATATGTGGTAGGCACTGAACATATAAACTGGACATGTGGCTTTATACCTGCAAAAGACCCTATATGTTTTCTCTATAAATTGTCTTTTTTATTTCAAAATACTTATTCTATTCTATCCCTTTCTTTGAAGAAATGCTTCTATTCTAGCCTTTGTTCAAAGTTCCTGTACTTGAGCTGTGTGTATACTGTTATTATTGACAAAAATAACATTTTAGGTACTCTATTATTTCAAAGCCTATTAAATGAAGTTTATTACATCTTCTCTTCAGTGAAAGTTATCATGCTTGAATTGTGAATGAGCAACTAAATTCAAACATCAAAGGCACAATACTTCAGCATTTCACTGATTGATCACAAAACACATATTGAATTCTTGCAATATAGCATTTAGAGCATTTTGGCTAGATTTAGAATATAAAATACAAAACTATTTTTTAAAGCTAATGCTCAAAAATATTCAGTTGATCATGTTTCTCATTAAACTTACATGAAACACATTACATAGATATATAATACAGAAGAAATCAAATTGAAGTTCTATGTACAAAACTGAACAACAGAATTAGTTTTTACAATTTCTTTCATTTTTCCCTGATCTACTTTATCTACCTAAACCATATTGAAATTTTATGAAAGAACATCTCTTTAACATAATAAATGCCTTTGATATTATACAAATAGTAGCAACATTTAAATATAGCAAAAACATTTTGACACAGACCAGTACAAACTTAGGTGCATTTACCACTTTTATTTTACTATGCAGAAACATACATTCGCCATGTATTGTGATGAAACTGACAGCATAAAGAACATAGGATCCGTTTAGATTGATGTGATAATAAAAATGAAATAATGTTTTGTAAGTGTTCTGTATGGTTTAAGGCTTAACTCTGACCTAAGTAAGGAACACTGACTAGACTTGCAAAAGAAACATCTTTCTCTGAGAGTGGACAACTTGGTTTTGAAAAATCACATTTCAGAAGAACTTGAGATGCTAAAGAAAACATACAATTTCTTCAAAATAATCACAATGCAAATGTATAGATTGAGACTTTAGAAAAGTGACGGCAGGATTTCTAATTTTAACAATCCTAAAAATCATTAGCTATTAAGGGTTCCAAATCAGATAAACAAAACATATTTTATAAGCATTTAAATAAGATTAGAGATTCACCATTGTTTATATAACAAGAATAATAACAAATTATAACAAGTATATGATTCAAATTATTTGTTGAATAAAGTATGTTATTGGCACATTTAATGTAATAAAACATATATATATAGTACCTGTACAGCTTCTAATATTGTAGTGTGATCTTGATTTTCCCTAAACAAAACTTTGCGCACCCCAAGAAACTGTGTTTAGACTTTCAATAATAGTAAAGGCATGAGCTGTTTTATGTGTAGCATAATACAATTGTTTTAACTGTTGATGAACGTGCCATTTAGATGTAAAGTTGATTTAGGAAAATAAAAATGCTGCTTTTTTGTAATTTGACGTTTCATGCAATTATTAGATTATTAAAGCTGATTCAAATTGCTGTAACTGGGGAATTTCTGCCAGTGTCCTTAATTAGCAATTAAAATCAAAATCTTCCATATTGAAAATTTCTCTGGAGAGATGCGTCAACTGGGTTAGAACCAAGACTCCATATAGGCTCTGATATTCCCATTGATGAAGTTCATAAGAAAGCTACTCTAATCCTGCAGTAGAAAGAGTATAGTTAAATTCCATCAATAATAAATCTAAATAAAAATAAATCTTGAATAATAAAGTAAAAAAAAAGAAAATATTTCTATACAAAAGAACTCTAGGTTTCTTCAATGAGTCATAAAAATAGTAAGTTGAGGTCAAATCTCTATTTTCTGAAAATCTATACAATTATATTATTGTAATGAGAGCCTTTTGACTGCAAATCTATATTTATAAAAAATGTTTCAGATTAAATTCTTGGCATCCTTGCAGCAAACAGCCCATTTCACTTTCAATTTCAGTTTCAACATGGGCTTCCCGATGATTAGCGGTTTCAGGCTGCAGGATTGCCATAGCCTATTGCTGCCTCCGCAAGCTCCATTTTTCCCGTTTGCTGCAAGGAGGTAAATTGCTGGGAGGCAGAGGCCAAAGGCTGGTGGCTGGGCAGGGCTACATTCGGTATATAAGATACACCCAAACTTTCACCCTCTTTTTTTGGTGTGTGTGTGTGTGTGTGTGTGTGTGTGTGTNCTTAAGTAAAATTTCTAAACCTAAAATGAAAAGAAAGAATTTGAGAGTCACAGAGTTGAAAGACTCCCTTGTACGTATCAATTTAAATATTCTTCCCATATGGCTGTCCAGCTTTCTCTTCATTGTATTTGGACAGGATGTAATACACCTATTCCTGGAAAATTTAGTTAATTCATACGCAGTAGATATTTACATTTTTAACATGGCTGAGCTGTAGTCCTACTCCTTCAAGCAGCATTGTATGGTACTGAACAAAAGAATGCAAAAAATAATGTCATCTTTATTCATTCTTACCTATCTGCATTATTACCCTTCTGCATTTCTCCCGTGCTGTAGCATATATTATATATTTTTCCCTTTAAACATATTTCCTCTTTGTTGTTTTTAGAATCCTTTGTTGAATTTTAGTTTTCATGACACCATCTCTCCAAATCTAGATAATCTCGTATTCTTCCTTGGTGAACTATTCCATTTTTCATCTCATTTATATGTTGAGAGTGTTTCACTTCAGAATTTCGTGTAGCCAGATTGGGTCCTGCTATATACCATTTTATGCCATTGTATTTTTAGTATCTCATTTTAAATTAAATCCTAGTCACTATTTTAAATGAAGTCCAAAGTTCAAAGTGAAGTCCAATGACACTCAGTTTTTGATTCCCTTAGTATCAAGAAATCCAGCTGTATATACTCAATTTCCTCCATAGATCTGTTTTGTGTTTTGTCTAGTATCCTTATTGGTTAAAATCAAATTAAGGGTAGCTTAATTTGTAAACTATTGAAAATTCTCAACAAGAAAGGGCAGGAAGTTTATTTAAATTTAAATTATTTAAAATTTCTGATCGTTACTAAGTCGTATATCTTTGACATATTTGTAGTTTGCTTTTGAAAAACATTCACATATTTTTTATCAATAGCAGATGTTAGTAATATTACTGTTATTTTAACCCAGATGCTTTCAAAAGCATTCTTTGAATTTCTTCACTGATCTGAATATTGCAATCTACATTCCCTCTATTGTGTAGCTTAGATCCTATTACTATTAGATTCTTGTCACAACTGTGACTACAGTAATTTACACTCTAAGATTATCATAATAAAAGTTACTTTATTAGTTTTTACCAATATGATCCAGATATTGGGGCTATAACTGTATCAACTACATGAGTTATCTCTGATTACTGATGGTTTTGACAGGAATTCTAGCCCTACCAGCAATACTGTTTCATACGATTTTCAGAATACATGACCCTACAGGGTTTTTCATTTTAATATAACTATATTCTCTCAGAAGAAAAAAAAAAGCTAATATGAATTCCCAGGGAACACAATTAGGAGATACTGTTGACCTGCTAGAAAATATAAATCCTCCCATTTCCTACCATTGTCAGAACTGAAGAGGCTTCTTGAATGTCTTCAAAGAAAAAAGTCCGGTTGCCTTTTGAAAACATCTTCCTGTATTACCTGTGATTACTTCCTGTAATCACAAATGCCTAAACATCATCTCTACAGCTGCTGCTGACTTTTCCACTGAGTTTGGTTGTGGGAAACTGGCAAAAAATTGCCTCACCTAACAACTGTGGATTTGTTAATGACAGCAAGCAGCACTGCAGTAATTGCAGTCATTAAACATTGGGAGTTGTGCCTTATGACTGCATTGCTTAATGACAGAAATATCAGTCTCAATGCTGTCAAAATTTGAGGATTATCTGTACATGAGACAAACTGGTCCAGAAATGGATGGGAAAAACCTATTATTTCAGGATTATGTTTACTGTTAGATCACTGCACTGATATACTACTTTTCTGTATACAGCCATACATGGATATTGTATTGATGACCAAGAACAAAAATTCTGTCTATCCTGTCAGATCCACAAGAGTGGACCTTGAGAATCCTGTCAGAGGCCTGCTTGGCTGGGGCAAGGCCATAGTAATGGCTTCTATACTTCAGAGTTCTCTGGCCTCATACATTTCATTCAGGCATTCAAGATCCTCTCTCTTCCTTCCCCACCTGACCAAATAATATTTTAACCCAGGATTATAAACCACATCAATTGGAAGCAACAACCCAGTATTTTGTCCATCAGCAGAGACAAAATCGAATAAAGATGTCCAACAAACCACATTAACTAGAGACTTTTCTGTCTCCCAGGCTTAGTGCATGCCTCATCCCATTGTCTTAATGGCTTCCAAATGATTTATCCAAGCATATCTCCATTGTTCCCTACAGTACACCTGAATTGAGCATGTTCCAGATTCACTTTTAATCTTATACCACTGGTATTCCCAACATTGCCTCATCTTCCAGGCTCTTCAGAGAAGAAATATGTACCCCTGTGACCAGTAATTTTCTTGCTACCTTGAATTGCTTTCTGTTGCAGGAGTCTAACCAGGTAACAGACAGAACAAACTATCAGATCATTGGGAACTCAAATGTTTTCCAGAAACCCTGCAGATCTCTTAGAAGCTTGGGGTAACCTTCACAATGATTCTGGGTAACAAATATTTTTACTTTTTAAGTCAACCCTAACCCTTCATATTCAGACCACCAAGCAACTGTTGTAAGATACACACTGAGAGCAGAATGCCCAGAAAATTGCCAGCACTTGTGATGCTTTTGTCTTGCCTCTTTCAAGCCCTCTTTTCAGGCAGCACAGCAATGTTGGCTATACAAGCTGTGTGGTGAAACAGCTGAGGGTGTTTATGCAGGAGAAAGAAGGTGAGGTGTTTGTGTGCAGAGGAGGCTAAAGTAGATAGAATGTTTTTCTCCAGCAGTATTCAAGAAATGGGAGTAACTCGAGAAGAGGGAGAAGTCACAGTAGTGCTTGTGTGCTGTCTAGGGACCTGTGCTGTTGTCTGTTTTGTCTTGAGCTCACCAAATTGGGAATAGTTAAGAGATGGCTATCTACATATAAGCCTGAGATTCCTTGAGATGCATCCATTGTTATGCAGTCTGTGGACTTGGTGGTTTTTCTTATCTCAGTCTCTAAAGCATGGCAGTTGTTTGAAGAGCAGCTGTGTGGGGGGGAAATAAAGGAGGCCAGGGAGATATTGTGTTCCTTGAAGGNTATTATTATTTTAGTACCTTACCTCAGAGGATTCATATGTTATAGTTTTTGTTTCAGTATGGACAACAGGTGCTTCTTTCATAGAAATTTCCGATTTCTCTCCACCCAGAGAAGCACTGTCAAAACTGACTGCCTCAGTCTTCACAATGGGTGACTGTTCCAATGAAATGTAAACGTAGGACACATTAAAATTGTTTGATTTTCTAGTATTCCAGAGTAAAATGTAAATGAATGCTCTTGCATAAAAAGAAATGTCTTAAACTTACACCTAAACAGAATTTTTATCATGATTTATATTAAATTGAGAACATATTTAAATAGCATATATATTTTTTCCATTTAAAGCTTAAATTTATTTTGTTGTAATCCAAATTTACATAAGCTTATTTTTCTTTAAATAGTTAAAACAGGGTTGAAAAGATTGCATGTACGACAGTTTACAATTAGAATATTCTAATAAATGAGTTGGGAAGTGTTTTCAGATTTGAAATTAGATAATTTCACAGGTAGTAATTTTTCCATGAAATATTACACTTCACTCTTCGCTCTAATAAAATATGTTCTAGTATCAGCATTAAGCTGTATTACTTAATCCAAAATGTTTCTTAAAGAATGCATATGATGCTAAAAATAAATCAAAAGAAAATAATAAATGTAAAAACCATTGCAACAAGCATCAAAACATCATGCATGTAAAGAAGCATTGTGTAGTTTCCTTTATTTTTTTAAATTTTTTAAAACATTCAACATAATCTTCAAAGAGTCCCAGAAGTTAAAGGGGAAAAGCAAACTTTATTTTAAACATCTGCATGTATACCAGTTGGGCCAGATGGAAGAAAATGAAGCAGCAGATATCACTATGAAAGAGAATTTCTGCATCCTGCCTTGGATGCATATGCCTTCCAGATGAACTATGTGCTATTTTACATTAACTTAGTGTGTGTTCACACACCAAGGGAAGTCCTGGCTATACTCGCAACTACAATTATTCAGGCTGCTAGCCATAACCATATAGTAACCATGCTGTCTCATTTAAATCTCATACTAAATCAAATAGTGACAATTAATGAAAAGGACAAGTTGAGCTTGCAAGCCATACAAGTGAAGAACAAACACGTGTGAAGCTGCCTTAAGAAACAAACTGCTCACAATAACAATGTTAGATGCATTGCATAACTTCCTTAAAGAAGTAAATGGTAGTTTATCTTTTTGTTCAGAATCAGCAAATTAAACATGTTTAATTACCTCAAAAAGAGGTTTGCTTTCTTGTGTATTCAAAATATGGGCTGATTTACTCTGTTCCTCTTGTAGATCATGAGAAATAGTAGCAGTTTCTTCCTGTTGGGTTGCAGCTTTTTCCTCTTTAGCACCCTCAGTGAGAGCAGAGCCCTCTTTCCCTTTAATGCTAGAAGCCACATGAGATATTGTCTGTGCTGTAGCATCCAGCTGAAGGCCAGCCAATTTAGCAGCATCCTCACTTGCATGCAAACTCATTACATGTTTCTCCTTGACTATTAAAGTTTCCTGCACAACCTTCTTGATGGTTTCCTGCTGTTGCTCCTCTGCTTTCTTTTCCTCCTCAGTTTTTGTTTCTGTTCGCTGCAGGAAAAGCAAGTTAATATTAAAAAGCTAATGTGTAAAATCTACAATTAAAAACCATCAAACTTGATCAAGGGTTTGTTTTGCATGCTTTTACTTTGTGTGCAGGTGATCCAAGTGCTCAGAAATTCCACGTGATTTCTGTTATAAGGACTAGGGTTCTGAGGAGACCTCAGTTTGAAGGGCAAAATGTGATTTGGATTTACACATGGCATGCTTGGACTACCTATTAAAATATAAAATGCTTCAGAAGTAACTTAAACCAAATTAGATCATGCTGTAGCATGATCATGTGATCAGGAAAAAGATGCAAATGCCTTAAGATGTATTTGACATGTACATTCACATTCTTGCATGTTCCAAATTATATTCTGCCCTTTAAATCTGGATATCTGCATATCATTAATAAATATGAAGTCCAATTTTATCTTTCATTCACTTACATTCTATCTCAAGAATAGCAAATTTAACTACTACCTCCCATTTCTGAATTTCTTCAAGTTTAAATGTACAGTTTTAGGAAGGGAAAGTATCCAGCATGTGCATTAATGTTTTCCATGAAGATCCTAAAAATGTGCAAAATAATGAAGGAAAACTAAGTGTTGCCATAAATAATACTATGACCCATCAAGAGATAATAACTAAAATCTAAAGATGAATCAGATGGCCACCTGTGCCCAGCTATGTGAAGTAGCTGTAGCCCCTCCTATGAACTCAGTTGGTTTTCTTGCAGATTCTATTAAAGTGAAGATACCAGAACCATCCAAAGTTTTTTCATCGGAGAGTTGTTTTGTCTAAACAGACAGAGAAATATATAGTCATAGGCATATGGACACAGAAAGAGAAACAGACACACACAAAGTTTATGTTAATTGACACAAATAAAGACAAAGGAGAGGAGGAAATGTGGCAGGCTTACAAAGAGAAAATAATGGAAAATAAATTAGCACAAGTCTGTACTGAATATATAAGCAGTAATACAAACAAGCAAGTGGTTAGCACTAGGATTCTGCTGGTCTTGTAAAGCATTATTTTTTCTTCAAAAACAAGCAATAGCGGCATACTACATTTCAGTAAGACTGATCTTTAGTTTAAATGCCTAATGTCAGCTTTGTATTGTGTTAATTGACTTAAATCATGAAGAAATAATAAAAAAGCTGGGTTGGCTGTTGTTAAAATAAAGCCAAGCAGCAAAAAGGACTAAGAGGCAGGGTAGTGCAGAATATTGTCTTAAAAAGTCATGCTTTGTTAAACTGGGTCAAAGTTGTATGTTACCACTACTCTTGATGCTGATGACTCAGTGACATAGTGAGCAGTAGCAATGGTAAAAGGTGGCTGTCTGCCATGTTTCCTTTCAGGTTTAGTTTTCCAACCAAGTTGCTCACTCTCCAGCGATTTTTCAGCTTTGGCTGTCTGTACACTTCCCAGCGTATCGGGCAACTGCAAATCTTGATCTGCCTTTAGTGTTTTTTTCCCATTTTCTTCTTCTGGACTTTGGAGTCGGGAGTCTGCTTCTTTAATTGGTGTCAAGGACTCAGAGACCCTCCTTTTGGCATCAGATAATCTTCTGGTGTTCTCATCAGTTACTGGTTCTAGAATTTCATATTCTGCTACTACAGGAATGATTTTCACAGATTCTGGCATTGCCATATCTGTGTTTTGAAATGGTGGCATTTTTTCTCCTTCTTTTACTTTAGTGGTCATGGTTACAATTTTCCCAGAAACAGTATCGTAGGATTTTCCTAAAGTATACATTTTCTGCTTATTGTCATCTTTTGAGAGCAATTCACCTTCCAAGTCCTCAAAGCTCTGTATGTCAGTGATACTGTGTTTTAAAAGCTCAGGTGGGATGTCACCAGTTTTACTGCTCACAGTCATTAATTTGTATGTCACAATGGTTTTCGATTCACCATCAACTACCTCAATCGGTACTTTGTCTACAATAACCCAATCCTCAGTGCCCTACATTTGAAATATAAAAGCTCAATTAGAACAACTAAGAGGTTACTTCTATGTCAGGAAACTAAAATATTACACCTTTTAGGTGATTACAATAGCTATCTTATTAACATCCACATTTCTAAGGTCTTTTCACAAGCCAGAAGGCAAGATAAATATTTCAACTTGTGACAACTAAGTTTAATAAATAATACAGCAAGGGGCACCATATTATCTTAATATTTTACACATTTTCAAAAAATGCTAGCTAAGGGGTGAAAATCATTTAGTTTTTAATTTTATTCAATACAAAACACTGTTGTTTTAAGTGCAAAATAGAGCTGTTTGGAGAAATGAAACACTCCTCAAACATCTGAAAATGTAATTTAATACTCCAAACCTGGTTCTGAGAAGTTATGTGCCTGAAACAATTTAAAATATTTTGGAGGGGAATAAAATAAATGGAAGTGAATCATTCTGCTTATTAAACTATTTTGTACTCTCTAAAATACTGCAAATGTTACAGAGCAGTCTTTAATTCTTCACTACATAATGCATTTTATAACTTTATATAAATAATCAATACATTATACTCTGAATATTCAACTGCAAGTATATGCTGAACCATCAATTTCATATACTTCCAAGAATATATTTAATAGTGCTCCTGAATAACAGTCCATAATGTTACTAATCAAAATTCCTGGTGCAGCTTGTCACTTTCCTCAACATTTAGTTAAGAAAAAGAGATGAAAAGCAGATGATCAGAGAGACAGAATTACAAGTGAAAGACAGTAACACTGGGATCCCTTCTAATATTTCAGATTTGTAAATACTTTAGCTTTTCTAAAAGCACCTCAAAATTCTACTATTTGTATAATCATATACCTTGTAGAGGTAATGGTGAATTCTTTTTCTAGCTCATTTTAGTTCATTCTAGCTCAGTACCTCCTCATTTAAAAATGATTTAAGCTTATAGGGTAAGATCACCTTACAACTGTTATTCTCCTTTTTCCCTGAATGCACATATAGAAATACAGTAGACAATATTGGAAATGTTTGTGAGCATTTCCAGTCAGCATAGTATTTCCATTCACGCAAGAAATGCATCTTCTGAATTCTATCAAGCTATACAGGAGTAGGTGAAGTACATTCATCTGCAGTATCCTACCCTACTTCTATATAAACATATTTATGTACAGACTTGATTCTTGCTGCCATTTCTGAAGATTCTGCCTGCACAATGAAAATTGTATACATAAGAATGAAGAAGTTCAAGCAATATTTTGATAAGCATGCTTCTTTACTGTAAACACATGTGGAAAATATATTTGCTGTAATAGTAGAAGCAGATCTGATTTTTTATGAATGCTACAATGAAATGAATTCTAAAGGCAGTTAACATTGCTTATTATTTTCACTGAGATGTTTCAACATGTATATATGCAGATGTCCAGAGAATGAGATTCTCAGCTCTGAAAACCTAAAATGCAAAGAAACCTGAAAACAAATCTAAATCAGAAACCTTTGTGACATATTAACCGAGCCTTTAAAAATGCACTGCGAAAAGAAATGTGGTGTATTTGTCAAATTATCACTTTTAAGATGTAGCATCTTTCAGTAACAAAAATACAAACTTTCTTTTTACCTGAGAATCAAGAAAGGCAGTGCTTTCCTTCTGTAAAAATATACGTTTTTCAGATTTTTCTTTATATTCTTTGGTCTACAGGACAAGATATCTATCATTAAAATCCATGAGAAGGTTGTTGGGAGTACAGATTCTTGAAAAACAGGCAGATATTCACTCACCTCGTCAGGCACAAGTGGTTCAATCATAGGGGCTTCTTCATGTCTTGCAGCAAGCCGGACTGGGGATGTTGAAAGTCTCTTTTCCCACTCATTAGTCCCTGAGATATCTGTAGTGGTTTCTAAGAATGTCCGCTTCAGCTCACTTATATTAGTCTGGTGTTTTATCAGATCTTCCTGGGTTTTATCTAGTTCCTGGTTTTGGAAAGAGGAGCGCAGCATTTTTTTAAAATTTGAATTGACACAACGGAAAAAGAAATAAATTTTCAAAGTTAATCAGCAAAAAAGCCTTGATGAGATTAGCTCTCACAGCACTAACACAACACTCTTGGCAAACTGGTGTTTTAAAGGAGAGGTGTACAGAAATTCTTAGAACACTTCACACATAACAATGTGGCAAGAGCATTTGCCACTAGGTAGGATTCTTGTTAGAGGTTGCGAGCCAATCCAAACTCCCTGCCAACTGACCCTATGTTAATATGCCTTCATTAGCACCTGTGCTTTGTACATTGCTCTGTAGGTGGAAAACATTTACTGGGCACACTTTAATATGCAATGTGTAAAGTAGTCCTCATTCATGTGAGCATCAAATACTTTTAGGGGAGTCATAGTTTGCACACATTCCAGAAAGAGACTTTGAAAAAAATCTATATACGTATGCAACAGAGTTCTATAAAACAGTATAACAGAAAATCCTAATCTTAACATTTGATTTATTAGCAAGTAAAAATGCACATATCATGCATGATATACAAATTCACACCTTAACCACTATATTTAAAACACACATAGAATACATGCACTAATATATACCCATACCAACCTCTAACATAAGATTACTATGTTTGATATACACATTTTCACCCTGTATGCGCTTAATCAGACTATTCTGAAAAAACTGAAAAAGAAAGGGAAATGTAAGGGCCACAATATTCAAAGAATGTAAAAATGCTGTTCTAAGCAATGTTTGTAAATATTGTGGGAATATGAATAAAGACAAGCAGTTTAGCCATGGAGAACAACATACACACAAAAAGCAAGGAATTGTTTCACTTGCCTGTGCTTTGAGATCACCATCTTCCTCCTGATCTGACTGTTTAGGTAGGGAAAAAAGAAAATATTATTTTACTAATAAAAATCATTATCATCATGAAGTTTTTAAACAGTTCATACTCATCAAATGAACAACATATATAATATATATTGAAACATCTCCTGGATAAAATGTTTTGGGAGTCGCCAGAATGTATATTATATAAACAGATAACTGAAATTAGTGGAAAACTTTTTCATATAGAAAACTATTTATGCACTGTCATAGGACGTACTTCTCCATAGGGCCTGGTTACTTGAGGGAGGGCCTGTTTTGCATAGCAATTCAATTCAATTCAATCCTACAGTGCTTTCATTATTAAGGGCTATCAACTCTGCTAACATTCAGAATATCTAAAGTACATGAAACATTCTTTGACAACAAATTCAGAGCAACAATACACACCTCTGTGGCAGTGGTTTCACCATCTGCTGCAGTGTCAGTCCTTTCACTGTCAGTCTGTGTTATATAACCAGGTTCCAAGAAGAAAGCAAGAATAAGAAATAAACCCAATTTGTAATTAAACAAAATCATAGGTTAAATTGTCAAATTTACATTCTCGCGAGTTGCATTTTAAGCATTTTTCAGACAAATGATAATTTAAAAGACGCATAATCCAAAACAATAGATCAGACAGCATTAAGATCAAGGCATACTGTACAAAGAGTGGCTTTTGTGTTAAACAGAATCATTAAATTGTGATCTTGAAGGAACACAAGGATCACCTAGTACAATACTCTGTAATGTGCAGGAACACCAATTAAGCCATCCTCGAGATTAGTTAGCCAAACAAAAGTTAATCAGAATAAGAAGATATTTTTCTTTATTTTTTTTCCTAAAGAGAGCCACTGACTTTAAAAAGGAACAAAATGTGAAAATTGCACTTCTCTATAATTTTGGGGATGGTACAGTTCTGTACAGTTCTTTTAATACATTATAAAAATATTGTTCTATAATTTGTTCATTTAGAGAAGGAAAATCTATAAACACATCTATTGTAACAATCCCTTGACTTTATTCCCTTATTTGCACATTTTTCCCCTCTCACATGGTTTTAAGGCTGTCTGCATTAGCAAAATTTTAACAAACACACAAACAGAACGAATTTAGCTGTATCTTGAACAGAATTAACATTTCTCAACATTGAAATACGATCTGGCTGCAAAAAAATCCTTTGTTATGTAAATCTATATTTTCTATCAGTGTTTAGAAAACATAGCAATGTATTTTAAGTAACATTTAGAAAGTACAAATGATCAAAGTAAACAAAGCACAGCATTATCCATCCAGCATTGATACATACTAATATGTATCATGAATACTTTAATTTTATTAATACGGTCTCAAAATGAACAACAAAGATATTTTTCAAAAAATACTTTAAAATAAATGTATAAAACATTGAATGGGGTTATTATGAAAAAAAGTCAAGCTATACAATGATCCAAAGGATTGAAATATGTTTTAAAATAATCATTTAAGACACAGTGGTTATTTTATATAAGTAGATAGATAAATAACATGCAGTCCAAATGTTTTGGACTACAACTACACAATCCCTTGCCATGCTGTTTGGGACATAAAGGAATTGAAAGCCTACACAATTGGACAGTGTCAGGTCGCCTAATTCTACAGTTGTTCAGAATCTCTTCATGGGCAAATGATGTAATATATTAAACATGCAATTGGATTAATTCATGTTTTGGGGTTGCAGTAACGATCACTAAGTTGATGGAACAGTTTACCTACAGGTAGTCTTCACTTAATCACTATTCATTCAGTGATTGTTCAAACTTAAAATGTTACTGAACAAATGAAAGTTACGACTGGTCCTCAAAGTTACAGCTGTTGCAGCACCCCCACAATCATGTGTTGAAAAGTTGGGCATTTGTAATTGCTATGTGAAATTCAACCCGTTCCACCCACCTATCTGTCATTTTTGTTGCCCTGTACTCTGCCATCTTGCTGACCTTCACTATCTTCTTCCTCCCACTGCTGACAAGACACCCCTGGCCAAGGTAGCCCTTCATTCTTATGTGTGGCATCCATGAACAGTAGCATTGTTAGGTTAATTCTCTCGTTATTTCAATGCAGGAAAAAGAAGTATCACACTCATTATGTTTACAGGAAGTTCTAGGTTGCTGTTACATGACTGAAATTTGTTACACTTTTGGCTGGCTTCTAGAAAAAAACACTTCCAACTCTTCTGTGCCCATGTGGCTTGTCATTGGCACCATAGGTTCTTACTACAGCATTTGTCAATTTTTTTTTTGCAACACCATTTCTGCCACTACTCTGCAAATTCAGTTTCTGCCCATTCAGATAAATATTTTCTTTACTTTTCAAATGAACTGTGTTAACTGGGATCTATTCAGCCTTTCCCCAGAAGATGAGATGCACTGAATCATGTCTTTGTAATATATAAGCTAACAATGGTGCCAGTGTGTTCTAGCACACTTATACAGAAGGGTGATCTGGCTGTGTCTACCCTGATCATAATGCCATGTATATTCCAACTATCTATATCTGTTTCTTTTGTCACTCCTCTGCCAACCCTATGATAGTGCTGATTTCTTCTTCATCTTTTTAGTATCTCCTGTTTCAGTAACATTCTTATGTAGTGTTAAATCCTTCCAAATTTGAAAAGAGAACCTAGTTTATCAAGAGCAATTAATTCCCAAAGGATCACTGCTTTCTTATCAATTTCTTCAGCTGTTTTATCATTTCTGAAGTTGTCCATGCATTAAAGTGCTTTTAAATCTTCATACAGTTTAAATGGCAACCATCGGTATACTAGCTTTTGTTATATAAAAGATGATGGCTGGAATCTACACTTTTGTTGCTTTGCTGCTGAAACAGGCCTGTTTCCATTGAAATTCACTTTGTTCATTTCAGAAATTATTTGATTTGTACAAGCAAGTAGATTGAATTTAGTTTGATTACTACATCTGTTTAGTGATGTGCTCAGCCAGATGTTTTTGTGTCACCCTAAGATTCCCACTACATTTGTGCAACACTAGTCTATCCCAAAATATACCTGGGAAATGCTTTCTTTCAGCCATGGAAGGAATCATTTCTATACAGAAACCCAGTTTCGTCTTGCAACAAGGCTTTATATCATTCCTCATCTTTACTCAAGATCTCGTTGTAGTATTAATGTGACCTAGAAAGTTATGTTTTGGATCTTGTTTTCTTATGTTATTGAAGATACGCTACAACTCATAGGACAATATTCCATTTTACAGGCAATCTCAGGATTTCCATCCAGGCATTACCCCACTGAACTGACACTGTAATTCCTACTAGCCTATCATTCTTACGAGAAGGCTGGCTTGTACAACAAGCTGCGTAGGAACTCTTCTCTTAAATCTTTATAGTTTTTCTATGTTTGCTTGAATGAAAGTGTTTCATACTTTATAAAATTAAGTGAGCTCTGGCTTTCTTTGCAGATAAAATTGAATCATTTTGCTATACCCTTCTCCTTTAGTATTGAAAAAGCAACCTTCTAATATTTTTTTACCCATTGTGTTCAAGATACCAATTTACCATTATCCAGGCTATTGGTTATTGCCAAAATATATTCCACAACACATCAGTATTTGGGTATTCAAATGCATAAGGATACATTTTGGGGAATACCTGCACACATTACATGTTTTTCTTAGCAGAAGTATGAGCCTCACATTAAAGTAAGTCTCCTAGTTACCCATACATAGTGAATCAGTGGTGGGTTTCAATTTTTTTTAGAATCTCTTCTATAGGTGTGGCCTGCTTTGTGGGAGTGACTTGCTGGCCATGTGACCGGGTGGGAGTGGCTTGCCAGGGATGTGACTGGGTGGGCATGGCCAACTTGTAAAATGTGGTGAAACTCACTTAACAACGCTCTTGCTTAGCAACCAAAATGTTGGCTCAGAAACTCTGGCATTTGAAGCACGCAAGTCTTAAAGCTGTCAAGTTACAAGACCTTTACACCCCTAACCCTTTAGAAAAAGGTGGTGTTCAAACTTGACAGCTTTAAGACTTGTGGACTTCAACTCCCAGAATTCCTCCTCTCGCTCTTCATCTTGATGATGTCCGGACGGGCAGGGGGAGGGAGCTGGAACCGGTTCTAAATGGCACTGTAGATTTGTGGAATCTCTTCTATAGAAGAGGTTAGAAGTGGCGGGAATCCACCTCTGTAGTGAATACACAAAAGAACAGGTTGCTTACCCATAATTATGGATTTCAAAAGTTTATGAGTGCACTCCTATAAACCTCTTCCATTCCCCTAGCAAAAGTATGTCCTAACATGGTACCTTAAGTGCCATGCTGTTCTTTATGGAACCAAGAAGAGACCAGAAGTTGTATCCAGAAGCTTAGCAACATATGGCTCACTTCCCCAAACATACTCCCTGGCTACAGAGTTCCTAGTAGTGTCTTTGTGCTGGCAAATCATTCATATGTATAAATATAGAAATATAACCAGAATTATTATCAGCCTATTCCCTTTTTTGTCACACTACTTTGGGTTGGACTACACCTATATTCACGTGTTTGACAAGAGAAATACTACATCACCAACACCAGTTCTTGCATTATTTGCTTTGTTAAAGATTAGGATAGCACTGAGACAGGAGGAGTGCAGAAACATTAGCAGCTACAAAGTACATTCTGGGATGTGGGGGGGGGGGCATTACCAGTTTACCATTTATATGTTTTTTAATTTTAATTTATGAAATTTTATGATCGGCCAAGTCCAGAATGATTTCCTAACCAATTATTTGTAAACAAACTAAGCTCCCTTTTCAATGGAAGCCATTTTATGAGATGACCAATGAAATCTCAAATCCAAATGTGCTTATTGACATGAAATGTTACATTACTTTACAGTTTTTAAAAGTTGTTTTAAACAAAATTTGCACTGATATATTTAGTATGGTGATACTTATAACCAACAGTGTGTATGTTGGACTACAACTCCCTTAATTCCTATTAAAAGGAAGATGCAATCAAATGTATCTACAGCATAAAGAATGAAGACAACAGTTTCAAAGAAATAATATAAAAGTATGTCACCACAATTTCACTAAAATAACTAAATCAATGTATTAAATTTTGGGCACACATACCATAAATTATTGTATAAAATAAAAATTAATGTTAAAACTAATCTGGTGCAGTTATTTGGGAGTAAGTTCTGTTAAATAGAGATATATTGTAGTCAGCAATTAATTTGTTACAGTAACAATTAAAGAATTTCTTCAATCCAAAATAATACCTGCCTGTTAATTAGTATGGCAGTTGACCATTTAACTTTAAGGTTACTGCACGGATCCTAAATAAATTGTAAGGAACGTATGGTATAACTATGCAGTTTATCCTGATCTCTTTTTCTTTATGTGCCATCACATCACTATGACCCTGCTTTTCCTGTCTTGTCTTTTCACCAACTATAACTCTAGATGCAACTCTCAAATTGCATCTAGAATTATAGTTGTTGCTAGCTAAAATTCTAGATTGCTCAAGCATCCTCTTTTACCATTTTTACATCAGAGAACATTTTCAAATCCAAAACTTATTATTTATTATTTATATGTATTACTTAGAATGGAGTTCCTTCTGCTCTTGCAGAGAATTTTACCGCACAATGCTGTATGTATCTATTCAGAAGTAAACCTTATTCAATTCAATGGGCTGTACTCTCAAGCAAATGGGTTGAAGACATGGAGGTAATGCAGAACTCTAAAGTGAGATTTTAAGCAGCTTTAAGGGACTTTCCCCCCAAGAAAATAATTACTAGATCATTGACCAACTTGAAGTCTGTTGGAACGACTGCTGAAATTTAAAAGCAGACATTTTTCCTAGCTTATTATATTCATAACTGCTGTGTTTTGTTTTGCTGATGTAATGCAGACATGCCAAGATTCAAAAGAAAATATCATGCAATATGTCCAAACAAGAGAAATACCCTGGATTAGGCACAAATCAGTGTAATCTAGCAGACAACTGCTAGTCCTGGTCTAATCACAAGCTTGGTTCATATATAATAACATGATTTGGTCTTACAATATTGATACCTTTCGGTCCAGGATTGCCAATTGGTTTGTTGATCTGAAACTCGTGTTTTGGCATACACAGAGCCCTGTATTGGCAAATATTAAAGCACATTATTATTTCTATACAAACAAAATAATTAATTGAATTGGAATGAATAAAGTTTAAAGCAAGCACAACACTAATTGTTCCAAATCATGATTTGACACTACATCTGAACCAAGCCAAACTAAAGCAAACAAACTAGAAAACTCGTCCTACTCCATCCAAGCTACATTTTATTTAGAATAAATCTTATTGATTTCATTTCACTTATTGGCAAGCAAGTTTGTTTTGTAATGAATTATAAATTATGCTTTAAAATTATTATTTAGGTTGATTGGTAATTCTAATTAAACAATTTACAAAATGCAAATGTTTCTATTCAAAAACTTGTGATTTACTTAAAAGATGCTTATAAAGTATTTGCATCTTATTCATTTGACACTTATTCACTGAATGGTACAACTCAGTTTTTAAATTTTATGTTACAGAAGAACAAATTAGTTTGGATGTAAGAAACAGTATTTTGTCTTAACTAGGCTTCATTAATCCTATAAAAGATTTATCACTAGACTAGAATACCGTATTTTTTGAAGTATAAGACGCACCAAGGTTTCGAAGGGGCAATTTTTTTAAAAAAAGTAGGTAGTTAGACAGAGGGATAGAGAGGGAGAGAAAGATAGAGAAGTACAGCAGGTAGGTAAGGAGAAAGAGAGTAGTTAGGTAAGTAGGTAGGTAGATAAAGGGAGAGAGAGAGAAAAATGAGAAATACAGTAGGTAGGTAGGGAGAGAGAGTGTGTGTGTAGGTAGGTAGGTAGGTAGAGGGATAGAGAAAGAGAAATAGAGAAATACAGTAGATAGGTAGGGAGAGAGAGTAGGTAGGTATGTAGGTAAAGGGGGGTGGAGAGAGAAATTCAGTAGGTAGGTAGGGAGAGAGAGAGAGTAGGTAGGTAGGTAGATGTTTCCAGGTGTATTTATCCATGTGCTGGAGAAGGAAATCGCTGACAATCTGCAGCACCTAAGACTTTGTTTCTTCTGGCACAGCACTTAATCAATGTAATTCTCATCAATCAGTTAAAGAGCTTTCAAAAATAAAAAAAAGTTTTTGCACTCTGCAAACTTCCCAAGAATGGCCCATTTTTTCGCAAAAACAGGCCCAGTTTTTTTTTTTTTAAAGAGGCATGAATAGCCGGGGGGGGTTGGAGAGTGCTCCTAGTTAGGGT